GGGGGGGGGGGTTACATTTTCTTCTCGGTGGATCAGAACTACAAGTTGTTCTACATCTTTTTGCTTGTCTATATTGGAAGCTGCTGATTTGTCATTACTTTCAGAAAATTATTACTGTTTGTTCTTAATAGGAAGTTGCTGCACAAAAATGTTACTAGCATGCCAGATTCCTTTATTCATAGATCATTACCATGTTAAACAGACTTGCTTTGCCCTAAGAAAAGAGAAGTAAAACTATATCAGTGTTTGAATTGATATTTATGGGGCAGATTATTAAAGATTGGGTGGATTTAGCTCCTAACTCTAGCTAAGTATCTGTTTTTGTTAAGCATATGCCATTCCATTTTATAACTACAATTGTTGGAAAATCCAGTGAGATTCAATGATGAGGGCTTATTAAGAACTGGATGGATCGGTTTCAGTTATATTTTAAATTTATGTGTAACTCATTTTTTGATTCCATGGAGCTCTTGATGTTAATAAATTTACGTGCAAAAGGAAACTGAGATTAATTTGGTGACTGTAGGATAGAGAAAATACGTATAAAGGCAGTCGAGTTTGCATAGCTATGTTTGGAGGCGTTGTTGAATAGGGGCCCACCACCTCCAGTCCAACTTCCAGACACATTCCTATTACTTCAGAGATAACAATGGGTGGGGTGAGAGTATGGCATGTGAGCAGTAAGGTTAGGGCTGTCTAAGACACCATACTGTAAGGAGGCTTGAGAGGAGGCTAGCAGGTGGAAAAGGTGGGACGTACATGTTGAAAGATGCTCGCATTGATGATTAAGCAAAAATGAAACTGAACTTACTTTGGNGTAACTCTAGCTAAGTATCTGTTTTTGTTAAGCATATGCCATTCCATTTTATAACTACAATTGTTGGAAAATCCAGTTAGATTCAATGATGAGGGCTTATTAAGAACTGGATGGATCGGTTTCAGTTATATTTTAAATTTATGTGTAACTCATTTTTTGATTCCATGGAGCTCTTGATGTTAATAAATTTACGTGCAAAAGGAAACTGAGATTAATTTGGTGACTGTAGGATAGAGAAAATACGTATAAAGGCAGTCGAGTCTGCATAGCTATGTTTGGAGGCGTTGTTGAATAGGGGCCCACCACCTCCAGTCCAACTTCCAGACACATTCCTATTACTTCAGAGATAACAATGGGTGGGGTGAGAGTATGGCATGTGAGCAGTAAGGTTAGGGCTGTCTAAGACACCATACTGTAAGGAGGCTAGAGAGGAGGCTAGCAGGTGGAAAAGGTGGGACGTATATGTTGAAAGATGCTCGCATTGATGATTAAGCAAAAATGAAACTGAACTTACTTTGGTTAATTAAAATTTTATTGTATAGGGAAAATATGTGGATAAAGGCAGTCGTGCAGAGCACTTTTAAGGCTAGAGCTGTCTGGGACAACTTTTAATAGAGAGGTTTGGGAGGCGGATAGCCGGTGGAAAAGGTAGTACATATGTTGGAAGACGAGTGGATTGATGCTTAAGACAGTATGCTATCAAGCCTGCCTACTTTATCATCTCTGTTAACCATTGCAGTCTCAGTGGTGAAGAGGCTATAGAAACTGTAGGACTTTTGGTAAGTGATATGATGACTCACCGTGTAGGGAGACAGCTTTTGGAGAAGATAAATGGAAGAGAAATGTCGTGAGTGGGAACAATTGGCACGGGGTGAGGTTTTGGGTGTACAAATGAGCGTGGATCTTCTAGAATTTTTTGTATAGTCATTTATAAAGATGCTCATGGCAGCTTATGTGATTATTTGGAGAGTGGGAATGCATGTGGAGCAGGATTAGGAAGTGGCAACTGGTGGATTCTTAGTTGGAGTAATTGTATGATACATCCATTTGGGGAAGCAGGGGATCCACTAATTTGGTGGACTTAGTGAAGCAATTTTATAGAGCTCTGGCAGGGGGAGGAGACTTTTCTCTTCGTTTAGTTAGTAGTGTTTGGGAGACAGATGCACCCTTGAATTACCTTTCTCTACATAGATTTGGCTACTAAAGCTGTATAACATCTATGATGTAGAAATGTAAATATTTTCAAGATGTTTTCACTGTTTTGTAGTGCCTTTTAAACAGTGTCTAGTCACCATACTTTGTCTTTCATTCATTTCATATAATTTGAATATCTATTCTCTGTCAGAAACTCGGTAGCTTTATGGAGATGCTATTTGGTGGCCGCTATGTACTCCTTTTGATGTCACTATTTTCAATTTACTGTGGGTTGATATACAATGAATTCTTCTCCATTCCTTATCACATATTTGGTGAATCTGCTTACAAATGCCGAGATGCTTCATGCAGGTATGTGTAATCCTTTCACCATCAATGTAGAATCTAAGCGCTACTTGATTTATATAGAGGAAATGCTGTTGTTGATTCTAATTTTGGAGGTACTTTTGGCCCCAGGAATTTTTTAACCGTTTATGGTTCTGTCAATTTGCTGCCTTTGGTAAAAACATCTGCTTATTAGGTACAGTTAAAATGTGATGGCTTGGATGAGTATTCAAGTTTACTAGGCCATTAATAACATTTTAACTAAGAAAGATATACAGGTAGCAATTGGGTTAAATTGGCTAAATTTGATGCTTTTCTTTTTTCAGTTTGGTTAAAAACTCATTTGGTTATAAGTTTAGGCTACTATAGGGTATTAGACTGCTTGGTTACCTGGTCAGTATATGGTGATTTTGTTTTATTTTCTATGCTTTGTATCTAATATTGTAGTCCATTCTGTAGTTTGGTCAGTGTTGTCAAATGAAGAAATGGTTCAATTATACATAGAGTGATTAGGGTGCCTATCAAGATAGTAATTGTCCTTTAATGTTATTGAATCATGATAAAAACCAGACAAATCTGACCTGTGGACCCTCAGTAGGGTTATTCTTGGTACCAAGTAATATTTGTGTAATTCTTAATGTGATCTTCATTTACTTTAAGCAGTGTTCCCAGTTAACCTTCTAAATCCCTATCATTTCAGGGAAATTTCCCAAGCATAATGCAATCATACTTGCTATCTTTAATATTCTGCCCTCTAAATTTATGGGCCTACCAGTTATTTTATGCTATCTAACTATGAATTAACTTTGTTTCTATTCATAAATTAATTTTCAGCTTTGTGTTAATTAACAACAATTTTTGTCTATTGATAGTGATGCACGTTCAGTTGGTTTAGTCAAATATCGAGATCCGTATCCATTCGGTGTGGATCCCAGTTGGCGTGGAAGTCGTACTGAGCTTCCTTTTTTGAACTCTCTCAAAATGAAAATGTCTATTTTGTTGGGAGTGTCCCAGATGAACCTAGGGATTATGTTAAGTTACTTTGATGCACGTTTCTTTGGCAGCTCTCTGGATATTAGGTGTGTAGTCTCCTCCCCTCATTTCCTCTTCCATCTCTTAACCTTTGTTCAATGTGTAGATAAGAGTGGGACTTATGCCGTTCTTTGTTATTAGGTATCAGTTTGTCCCACAGATTATCTTTCTTAACAGCCTTTTCGGATATCTTTCGCTTCTCATTATTATCAAGTGGTGCACTGGGTCTCAGGCTGACCTCTATCATGTAATGATTTATATGTTCTTGAGTCCGTTTGATGATCTTGGTGAAAATCAGTTGTTTTGGGGCCAGAAGCTACTTCAGGTATGGTAATATCTCATCCTCATCATAGGGTTTGTAAGCTTTTTTTTTTGGTTCCTAGGCTTCTTTGTTGATTAATTTTTATTTTTTGCAGATCATTTTGTTGCTTTCGGCGGTTATTGCCGTTCCATGGATGCTTTTTCCGAAACCTTTTATTTTGAAGAAACTTCATTCTGAGGTACTGTGTGTGTCAATTTCACCCTTTTTCATTTTTCTCAGTCGTGCTTGAACAAACAGCTTTCCTGCATGTTATTTGGCTCATGTATAGGCCTGTTGAAGCATCAAGTATAGACCGGATTATACTACATCTGAATCCGAATCTGATTACTCGACCTGATCCAATCAATCCATATATGAATCTGTTAATTTTTGGATGTCCAACCCGGAAAATCCGATCCAATCCGTTTACTATGGTTGATTCATAAAAAAATCAAAATTTATCAATTTTAGAATATNTATTTTACTCGACCTGATCCAATCAATCCATATACGAATCTGTTAATTTTTGGATGTCCAACCCGGAAAATCCGATCCAATCCGTTTACTATGGTTGATTCATAAAAAAATCAAAATTTATCAATTTTAGAATATAATGGAGAATTACAATAGAAATTCAACAAAAAAAAGCTAGTAAATTGAACTCTATCTCGCCTCAATTCACACTTTACATTGAAAATTAGCCTCAACTTCACCTTAAATTCATCAAAACACCACAAAAAAAGACACATTAGATCAGGCGTCTTACATGAGGAAGAAGAAGTCGTAAGCCCTTTCAATGATCTTAGCAGACCAACAAACAATGTTTGCTATGCATTTGAGAAGCACTAAGGGATGAAAGGGTCAAAATACAAAGAAAAAAATGAGAAATTCCAAAAAAGAAAATGAATAAATNAACATTAGATCAGGTGTCTTACATGAGGAAGAAGAAGTCGTAAGCCCTTTCAATGATCTTCTTAGCAGACCAACAAACAATGTTTGCTATGCATTTGAGAAGCACTAAGAGATAAAAGGGTCAAAATACAAAGAAAAAAATGAGAAATTCCAAAAAAGAAAATGAATAAATACCCAGCACTTCTTAGAACAATGTTTCTTTCACTGGAATTGCAAAATAGAAACAAATAGCCAATCCTTAAGTAGATTCTTTTGCTTTTTGGGTCTTTGATCTTTTGGAGAGTTTGACTAAGAAAGAGGACTTTGGCAGAGAGAGAGAAAAAGGGTGAAGATAGGATGGTGGCTGGAAGGGAAGAAGAAGAAAGGATGCTTGACGGCTTAGAGAGGTCTGACAAAGGGTCTGGAAGAAGAGTTGGTTTAGGGTTAAGATGTAGGGTGAACAGTCCTTATAAAGTCTATATTATATATGTATATATACGTGTCGGTTCGGATTATTAACAGATCGGATATAAGTGTATCCAAATCCGAATTCGTGAAATAGTACATAATGGATTTGGATTATAGGTAAAAAAATTCAATCCATATCTGTTAGGATCAAAATCCTGTCCATTGACAGCCTACTCATGTACTTGTGTTCTTTGCTAAACTTATTTGCTTGCTCTCTCTCTATCAAAAAATAAATAATCAATTTGGCAATGCTTTCAATCAAAAACTGNGTTTGCTTGCTCTCTCTCTCTATCAAAAAATAAATAATCAATTTGGCAATGCTTTCAATCAAAAACTGTAAATTTTATTAATATCATGCAGCAGCCTCTTTTTGAAATGTAAATATGTAAGTCTTGTAAGATACCTTTCTAATCTCTGGTATATTAATGGCTGTTGCATTAGAGAACCATTCTAATGTAGTGGAGCAGTTACTGAACTCTTGAGTGCCATTAGCTCCTGAGTAATATGGATGATTTTGACACTATATATAACAGGAATGTATGTTTTGTAATTGTTGATAGCTCAAGCCAGTTAAAACATGGCGTATGTGTGAGTGCATGCTAATTTATTTATATGTGTCAGTCCTTTTGGCATCTGGTTTGTCAGTTGTAGATTGTTTACATATGTGATTAGTAAACTATCACACTGATAGATGTAATTTAAACAAGAAAAGAAAGAAAAAGGAACTACAATTCCAGAAGAATCATTAGGTAGTTCGTTATCCAGAAGATGAAATGTGAAGAGTGTGAAATGACTTGAGCATAACCTTAAGCCCCTTCTAACTCTATCTGCATATGTTAAATGCAAACTGCTTATATCCTTCCGAATTTTTATTTTGTTTCTGACTTTCTTATGGAGAGTAAACAAATATAATAAACGTGTGAATTACTGATGTTTCCAGCATATAATTTGAATTTTGAAATGTATCAGCAGTATTCTAAACTTCATTAGAATCATTGAAGTACTTCATTTACTTGGCAATTGTTTTTTACTATTGCTTTTACTTGTCTTAATGCGTAGTATAGTCTAATATTTGTGGACCCAAGTTTTGCATTTTCAAGTATTAGTGCCACTTGCTTAAGGTTCAATGTTTTATCTCTATACGGGAGCAATGAAGATTGAAGGTAGGGAAGTTTCTTGAAGGGATTGGAAGTAATGACATTGTTTTTTTTCAATTGTTTATTTTAGAGATTTCAAGGTCGTACGTATGGGCTTCTTGGAACCTCTGAGATGCATCTTGATGAGGTACCTGATTCCGCCAGGCAAAACCATGATGACTTCAATTTTAGTGAGGTCTTTGTGCATCAAATGATACACTCTATTGAGTTTGTGCTTGGTGCAGTTTCTAATACTGCATCCTACCTTCGGCTCTGGGCTTTGAGGTACAGTCAGTTCTTGTTTCTTCAAGACATTGATTACTCTTTATTATCTTACATTTGGTATTTGATACTGGTTTTACAGCTTGGCCCACTCGGAACTGTCAACTGTTTTTTATGAGAAAGTTCTCGTCCTTGCCTGGGGGTAAGTTTTTGCTTGAAGTTTTATCCTAGTGCGCATTCATTTACTGCACATTCTTCTTCCGCTGTAATGTATATATATATATATATATGTCTTTATTGGTTCTTTCATTTGGTGCATTAAACCTGAATTGCAGTATCATCCTGTTACAGTTTTCTTACATACCTTCAATGTGGCGAGAATGAGAATGTTAAGATGGATGTGTGGTAAAACTGGAAAAGATAGAATTAGGAATTATAATATCCATAAAAAAGTAGAGGTAGTACCTATAGGAGATAAATTGAGGGAGAATTGACTTAGGTGGTTTGAATATATTTATAGACGGTCTATTACGACACCGGTGAGAAAGATTTATATGATAACTATTGACGCTAAACTTAAGGGGTAGAGGAAGGCCAAAATTAACTTGATGTGAAATAGTAAAGAAACGGTTTAACAGAAACCATGGTTCTTGATGGAGCACAGTAGAGAAAGAGGATTCATGTAGCGGACCCCAAAAATGTTCGGACAAGGCTTTATTTTATTTAGTTGAGTTTAGTTTATCATGTGGAGGCATGTTTCACTCAGTTGTTTTAGTTTCTTCGAACATTTTTTTTTTTTGGGTATATTGGAAATAAAAAGAAGACCCCTAACCCTAAGGTTTTCTATCAAAGGCTGTACCAACAAGGTCAGCTTCGAACAAAAGGCCAAGCTCCAAAGGAAGTGTCTGCAGCTTCACGAAATAATCTGCCTGATTTCCCCCAAATTTGCAAGATCGTCAGTGTATTGGTTTCCTTCCCACAGCATGTGCTGGACGTGGCTGCCAGTAGCTCTCAGAAGATCATTACAATTGTTGATGAGAACTCTATTAGGGTGCGTGAAAACCTGGGGGCAGGACAGGGGGGAGAAAGCTTCATAAGAATCTGTCTCCACCTCCACACTGAACATTTCTAGCTCACTGATTAGCTCCAAACCTTTGAATGGTGCCCACTGCCCACAGCTCTGCCAGGATACTTGTCGTCTCATTCAGCTTCCCATAAAATCCCGCAATCCAGCGGCCCTGATCATCTCAAACAAGTCCACCCATTCCCGCTGATCCAGGGTTACCTGTGGAGCAGCTGTCAGTGTTAAGCTTTAGATGACCTACAAAAGGAAAGGACCACCTTATAAGTCTACAAATTTTCCTTTCACCTGGAATTGAATCCAAGGGGAAGGCACTCATGATATCTTTCGAACAGTTCACTGCATTCTTAATCACCATATTTGGATCTGTAACAGAATTATCAATACATTCCTTATTCCTTGGCTTTCCAGACGGACCAGAGGATGTAAAGGTCCTTGCATGGTGCAGTAATAAAAACCTTGTATAACTTTCAAAACGGAAGTTATCCTATTACCTATAGAAACAGTATCAAGGCATTTATAATGGTATGGTACTTTGTAACCTAATTGAGGTTATGGACCTCAACATATCAAATGGGAAAACAGAAATTGTGTAGCTCTCCAAGTAGTTGGAGTAAAGCTCCGCTGAATTGAGTATCATTATGTCTGTTTGTACAAAAACATATTTGACATTTTTTGTGTGCCATTTGTAGTACCAGTGTACAGCGATAATTATTCTCTTCATGTGGAGGTATAATGGGGAAGGGATTGAATTACTAGATGGATTTTTGCTTTTACTGACCATTCAACCGCATAGGATGCGCTTACCCAGGTTACTTACAAATGATATTACATTCTTTAAATTTGTCATATTACAAATAGTGATTTCTATTACAGGTACGACAACTTCATCATCCGGTTGGTGGGGCTAGCTGTTTTTGCCTTTGCAACAGCATTCATACTACTCATGATGGAGACACTTAGTGCTTTCCTTCACGCCTTGCGTCTCCATTGGGTGGAATTCCAAAACAAGTTTTATCATGGTGATGGCTATAAGTTCAGGCCTTTCTCCTTTGCATTGTTGAGTGAAGATGACGATTAGCATTTATATTCCCCTCAACTTTTTGGAATTTTGCAAAGAAGAGAGTACGAAGGGGGAAAAAAAAAGAACTCTTTCCACCCCAGCAGAACTCTAGATCAGATATTCATATAACCATGTTGGTGCTGGCAAAAAATCGTGCTTCTTCGCTTTTAACATCAAGCAGGTCAATTTAACTTAGAAATGTAAGATCCTGACTCCAATTCTTTGGGTGTGATGGTATAAAAGGGTTTTGTTTAGACATAGTAAACTGTTCACTAAGCGATTCAACATTTTTCATACGTAAGTCTCTTTTTTCCTTTTCCATATATAGGGACGGAGACTCAGTTGTTGTAAAGAAAGGATCTTTTATACGATGTACCTCCAGGTGTTACTCCTTATGGAGAGGCAAATTTATGAAATGTCAAACAGACGCACACATCAGTGTGTGTGGATTTTGCAGAGAATAAAGTTCTGTAATAAATCGCATTCTTAAAGAGTTCTGTTTTAATGTGGATGTGTTATGGAGAACTCTTTCAATTCCAAAAACTTTGGTAGTGACCCTACTGTTGATAACTATTGAAAGAGTTTATTTGATATCGTCGAATAGATTTATCGAAATTTGTCCAAGTTTGTCTTGTTTTATATAATATAATAGTTATTGCTTGTACCTGAAAACACAGAGTAATAAAAAATGATAAATAATAAACATATTTGTAGTTATATTTAAAATCAAATTACAAATATAGAGGAGAGATAAATGAATTTAAACATCATTTGTAATGGAGGTGAGTGATGGTGGGCGGTACTGGTGGTGATAGGAGACGATCATGANTTTATATTTAAAATCAAATTACAAATATAGAGGAGAGATAAATGAATTTAAACATCAGTTGTAATGGAGGTGAGTGATGGTGGGCGGTACTGGTGGTGATAGGAGACGATCATGATGGCGGCAGTGGTGGCGGCGACGACGACGACGGTGGTGGGGGGTGGCGGTGACGGCGGTGGTAGTGGTAGTGATAATGACAGTGACGATGGTGGTGGTGGCGGTGGCGGTGGCAGTGACAATGGCAGCCGTGACAGTGGCAGTAATGGTGGTGGCGACAACAGTGGTGGCACCGGCGACCACGATGGTAGTGGTGGTGGTGGTGGCGACGGTGCGATGGTAGTTGTGGCAGTGGCAGTGGCAGTGATGGCGGTGGCGATGAGACGGTTTCAAACACTATTTTTTTTAAAATACTTATGATAAATAAAATTCTAAAAATTATTTTTAAAAAGTGACTCTAAATACAATTTTAGAGACCTATTTTTTTTTATTAAATTTAGGGAGTTAATATTAGCCGTTAGATTAACTTTAAAGTAAAAATTAAAATGATCTGAACCGCAAAAAGTAAAAAATTATTTATTTATTTTTTAAAATTTAAATCGTAAATTACTTTATTATATAGATATATATTTAATTTATAATAACAAGACCTGAAAATATTGATTGCCCAGAAGGAACAAATCGAGGAAGTTAGTCTCATGGGACAACAGTGTCAAGTCTGTCTTTCAAATTTTTGGTATAAAAATTAGAGAACATTACTGCATAATTTGAAATATTTATGTAAAGTGGAGTGCATTCATGCAGTCGCATCATATCATGCTCTTAAAAGCGAAGTCGTATTATAAACTGTATAATTAAGATTAGGGAAAATTTTAGTCACGCTTTCTTCTAGTTTAACATATTTTTAAGGATACATTCTCTATTTTTTGAATTTTAATTGACACCCCTGTCAGATTAAAAGTATTAATTAGAATATAATTTTACTAAATTATCCGAGATATATTTTAAAAATATTTTGCCCACACCTCCTCCAAATAGACATATTTTTAATGAGATTTCTTCTATTTTTTAAATTTTGTTATATATTAAAATTTGGATTGATTAAAACTTGATTCAAGTTAATTTTTTTTCGTATTAAAATTCAAATGAATTTAAAATAATATTTTTTACGAATTAAAATTCTATTTGAGCCGATTAAAATTTAATCAACTCAGATTGAATTTTAATTGGTCCAAATTTTGATACATAAAAAAATATAAATTTTAATCGATTCAAATTTTATTACGTAAAATATAAAATTTAATTACCTTGAATCAAATTTTAATTGACATGAATTTTAGTAAGAAAAAATATAAATTTTAAAAATAACAATTTAGGTAAAGCTCAAATTTTAATACATAATTTTTTTTTTAATATATAAAAAAAAAATTTAATCAGCTCAAATCGAATTTAAATCAACTCAAATTTTAATATTTAAAAAAATAAAATTTAATCAACGCAAATTTTAATACTTAAAAAAATAAATTTTAATCTGCTCAAATTTTATGTAGAAGGATTGTTTGGAATTTATGTAGGGGTAATTTTGGTATTTTGAATTTTTTTTTTTTTTTTTTTGGTTAGAAATAGTGGTTTAATGGCTAGTGATGTCAATGATGTTTAAAAATAAATTAGAGAGAGTGTGAATAATGTTTTTGATAATAATAAAGGTGTTTTTAAAGATATAATAAAATAAAAAGGGTGTAACTGAAATTTTTCCTTGAAATTACGGTGAAATTCCATGGTGGGACCCACGATTAGACAGCAACAACCACAGACAAACCACGTGTATCACTTAGTGGGGCCAGAACTCAAGCCTGATGAGTGATGATGGTCAAGAAGAAGAAGATGATAGTAGTTGAGTTGCAGAAGTGGAAAAGAACTTTTCCCAACAATAAAACGACATCGTACCAGGACGGATCCAGTTAGATCGTGAAAGCTCCACATACCTCCGTGAAGAGCAACACATCACCGACGCTACACAAAACGCTTACGCAACCCTCAATCTATGAAAAGATGATCGAGTTCTCTTTCTATGATTGAGCTCTCAAACCCTTAAAACAATCGCGAAAGTCAGTACAAATTCAGAGAATATGGAAAGAATCAGCAAGAGTTCTGCAGATGGGTTCTCAGAGTTTTGGAAGAGAGAGATGGGGTTTTCCCAGCCGAGAAACTTTACTCGCCGTATATCTTCTTCCGAGGTCTCTCTCTCTCTCGCTCTCTCTCTCTCTCTCTCTCTCTCTCACACACACACACACACACACACGCACACGCACGCACGCACCCGCGTACTTATGCTCGTACTTATGTGTATTCCTTTTGTAAAATTCAGCTGATAGGGATATTATTCTCTTTGGTGAAAGCGTAGTCTTGTGCATAAAAAGATACTAGTTCTAAATTGATGATTTGGGTGGAAAATAAGGATTTGGTGATGAATTAGGTGAGGTGTGTTTAAGAATTAGGATGTATCATATGGGTAGGATTTAACTTTTATTGTTATGCATTTGTAAGGACGTTTGGCCGTTGTATTGCCTAACTAATAGATTTCTAGTCCCCTCCTGCTTCCTAATATTGCTTCTGATCATATTGGGTTTTTCTTAACGCTTACCCAACCGAAATTGAAACGTACCCATTCATCATTTGATGAAAGAAAAATCAATTTTTTTGCGCCAATTGATGTTGTGAAATCAGTGTTTTCTGATTTTTGTTAAATCACTCCATTTCAACCTCATTCTCTGTTTTTTGTCTACTGTTGCAGATTTCTGTAATAATTCATTTTACAAATAGGGGTTTGCACTTAATTTTTTTTTTGTAAAATGCGGTGTCTTGGAGTTCCTTCTTTTCAAATGTTCATTTAGTCTTGATGCTAGTGGCTGACCTTATCTGTAATGTGCCCATTAAAGTGGTTAGATTTGTGCTCAACTGCTCATGAATATATAATGCACAGACAAAGTATGGTAACTTATTTTCATGGCAATTTAGTATCTGTTTTGGGCATCTTTTGTGTTTGGTGAGGGAGCAGCTTGCTTGCAGTGCACTATTAGAACCAGTTCATTTGATGCGCTTCTTTGTGCTTTGGTATAGGCCCTCGTTAAAAGACTTGATTTGTATGGGAGGTTAAATGGTCATCAAGGTTGCGTAAACTCAGTTGAATTCAACTCCACTGGTGACTTTCTTGTGTCTGGCTCTGATGACAGACAAGTTATGCTCTGGAACTGGGCTACTAAGACATTAAGATTGTCATATCCTTCAGGCCACTTGGACAATGTATTTCAGGCAAGAATCATGCCATTCACAGATGATTGTAAGATAGTTTCTGCAGCTGCTGATGGCCAGGTAAATTTCTTCACAAGTTTTTTTACTTCGTTTTTATTTTTATTGTAGGTATGCTGCAAAGTTTTTTTTTTTTTTTTGATATTTGCTGCCTAAAAAGTATAAATAGGTATTTGAGATTTTTTCCCCAGCTAACTACTTTTCACGAACATTGCAAGCTAAGAATCACGAAGCACGGACACTCTTAAGAAGGTGGCTTATCCACGTCACGACACTTCTTGGATACTATCGGACACGCATCTAATACTCTTTTATCGGTATCCATAGTTAAAAGATAAAATTTTAGTTTCCTAATGTGACGTTTCTAACACTTCTTTTGGTAACATTCTCGTACTTCTTTAGGTCGTGTCTACTAGTAAAAGCTAAACACCTGTTGACACGTAATTAACAAAACTTAAAAGTTTGACAAATGGCTTATTTATGAAAGAATTAAAAATGTAAAATTGTTAGGACTAGGTATGTTAAAGTTCTGCCTAAGCAATTTGTCTATTAAAAATGGATACTTATCGAGTCCTAGGATTCTTTAGTGTACAAATTCACGCCAGATTATTAGACGTAAGATAAACTGCATATTTGATGCATAAATTATGATTATCTGTAATGTGTTTCCGATGCATCCTCTTGTTACGTTACATGCCGTGTTCACGGATACGCGTGTCATATCCGTATGTCATATTTGTATTTTGTGTTCATATCCATGTATGCTTTTTAGATTGCAAGTGGGTCCAGAATGTCCATTTTAATTTTTTTCAGGCTAATTATTTTGGCTATATTTATGAATTATCTCCAAACCTTCATGTTTGTTCCCTTTTTTTAGTTCTATTTTTTGATATAACTTTGTTCACCTAAAGTGAAGCGTTTTCATAATGTCGGATATGTAGTCCTTATGCATTTATAAACACCTTCTGATCTTGTAGACAGCCAAATGAAAATTTAACAAGGTTATGATCTTCTACAGAACAAAATGATATTAAAGGTTCTATGTGGCCAGCACCAATCTTTTTTGGACATGGTTTTGCTAGGTCAAGTTGAGGTTCTAAGGCAATCCATGACAACTGATTGAGCTATCGCGACTCTTTTCATTTTTTTTTTTTGGCTGCTAGAACGTATCCAGGCTTTTACAATGCCCTTCTAATTCTTATCAGCAAATCTTGTCTCCTGAACCACATGCACCATGTGACCATCGAGATAAATCCTTGGGATGTCCCCAAGAGTTTTTTTTACCTTATTGCAGTGTTTTAATTTTGGAAGTTGCCCCAAATAAGAATATAAGTTCAAACTCCACCATTTTTGACTCTGCTTACCTAGTCTCTTTCACCATTATGAAAAATTTCCCAATTGCAGGTCAGGCTTGGCCAGTTATCGGAGAATGGTCAAGTTGAAACAAAAAGGTTAGGTAAGCACCAAGGTCGCGTGCACAAGCTTGCTGTGGAGCCGGGAAGTCCTTACATATTTTACAGCAGTGGCAAGGATGGTTTTGTTCAACATGTAGGTTAAATCAGTAGTGATTTCCTGATAAAAGTGTTCTGTTATTCTCATTTTTGATTTCAGGGTTTCTATTTCTTCTGCAGTTTGATCTGCGTAGTAATCATGCTACGAAGCTTTTCTGTTGCTCCTCATTCACAGAAAACAACAAGCAGTCTTCAAGGAGCCTAAGGTTGAATGCCATTGTTATAGACCCAAGAAATCCTAATTATTTTACCTTAGGGGGTTCAGATGTATATGCACGGGTGTATGACATCAGAAAATGCCAATTGGATGCGTCAAGTAAACAAGATATACCCATTAACACATTTTGCCCTCGTCACCTGATTGAGACATATGATGTTCACATTACGGCATTGGATTACTCTAACACAAGTGAACTGCTTGTCTCTTACAATGATGAGCTCATTTATTTGTTTCAAAAGAACATGGGGTTGGGTCCTTTACCATTGCCCGTCCCACATGAAGAATTGCAGAAACTGGAAGGGGCACAAGTTTACTCAGGGCATAGGAATTCTCAAACAGTTAAGGGAGTGAGTTTCTTTGGTCCCAATGATGAGTACATCTTGAGCGGGTCTGATTGTGGTCACATATTTATCTGGAAGAAGCGGGGAGCTAAGCTTGTGCGTTTAATGGTAGGTGATCGACACATAGTAAATCAACTGGAGCCCCATCCACATATTCCTGTTCTTGCTACCTGTGGTATTGAAAAGAATATAAAGCTCTGGGCTCCTATGTCACATGACATTCTTCCTCTGCCTCATAATGTTGAAGAGGTACCATTTGTTGTTGTACTTATTCATTTATTTTTGGGGTTTCTAGTGACTATCCTTCAGGTACCTGGATTTTTTTGCTGACTTGTTTCCACAATTTGATTGTTTGTGAAAGATAATCGAATCTAACAGGCGAGGCAGAGAGGACCATTCGCAGGTTACACTCACTCCCGATGTAATCATGCATGTTTTGCGGCTGCATAGGAGGCAGGCATTGGCTTACATTGAAAGGAGATACAATAGAGCTGATATTGAGAGTGATGATGAAGATGAAGGTGCGGCCTATCTTTTAGGATTTTCCGACAGTGATGTCTCCTCCGAGGAGAGTGTTACAGGAGATTCCAGGGAGTGCAACATTAGCTAGAGCTGTGCACTTAATCGGTAAGTAAAATTTTGGTCTTCTTTTCTCCTCTTAACTCATTGGTTACATTTAGCATGAGTTCAAGTCATTCCATGGGTGGTTATATAAGACTTCTCTGTCCTAAAATAAGGAGGATACCTTTATTCCTTGAGTCTTGAGTCGTAAGTTGTAATCTTCCTATTAGTGATTGTGACAGGTTTATAGGACATACCACCTTGGGTTCAGATGAGATTTTGGGGCATACGGTAATTACACGCATAGCTAGCGCCATACCAATAGAAGGAGATACCATAGTGACTTGGCTTTACGGCTCCTTAAAAGTTGCCATTTGCATTTCAAATTCATTGCTTCAATATAAATAGGTTGTAACAAATCTAAAGATTTTCGATATACAATATCATCTTATGTCTTAGCAGAGCCATGAACGAACTGGGGTCAATGTTTTCAATCTGTCATTCTGGTGTCATATATTGCTCTTTGGTGGGGTTTTGGTCATCCATCCATCTTAATCTTCCTATTGCTAGTCTTATATTGCTCTTTGGTGGAGTTTAGTCCATCCATCCATCTTATATTTGTGCCTAGGTGTAGATAATTTTGTGCGGTTTGAAGGACAAAAACATTAAAAACAAGAATCTTGGCTTGCCTACTTTTGGGAGAGTATAATCTGGCGGACCCCGAGAATAAAACCTCCCTCCATTTTTCCTTCCCTTCTCTCCTATTAATCATGGGAATTATTTCCAATTTTTTCTCTTTCCCTAGCCCTGGCCTTTTTCAGTATTACTATGGAAAAAGCCCTACCTTTTTAGGCGTTCTCAGACGGCGAAGCCTCGAAAAGCTTCTGCTGGATGGGTGGTCCTATTACAATTACCACCTGCATAAGTGCTAAGTGCCCCTAATTGTCCTGACAACACCACCATTGGCAACTTGGCGTTAAGTATTGGGGCCAACCACAATGAAATAGGCTTGAATTAAGATATATTATCTTTCAGTTGACCTTCCAAAACCATGATTCGCAATCAAGCTAGGAAAAGATGAAGCACATGTTGTCCTAATGAAATGAGTATAGTATAGTAGGACATTCATTCTTACCGCCGCTTCCTGCTTAAGACTAAAAGCTAGTAGTGAGACTGTTATTCTGCCACCCTATCTAGTAAGAGCCTTTAAAGCCAAGCATATTTGGCGTAATCAATATAAGGGCTGGGCCCAATCTGCCCTCCTTTCAAGCAGATGATTTGTGATGTCAAACATTTTTTGCTATTATCTCTCGTTTTCTCGTGCCCAATGGTAGCACGTCATGTCGTCACATCACAATCTGAAATACAGAAAAATGCTTTGGTAAATAAGTTTGTAAGTGAAAAAAATTTCGGTCGAAAAAAATACTACTTAACAAATGCATCTGCAATGCAATGCTAAAAGTGAAGCCTCTTACAATGCAAATGAGTTTTGTCAATCGTCTACCATTATATAATTGGGCTCCATGTGTGGGTCCCATAATTAATGTTGAGCCATCGAAATTGAGCAAAAATTAGAGAAATTTCAAGGTAAGAAGGATTCATTATACATTTTCCATTGGGTTATGATATCTCTCAAAGTAGATTGAAAATATCACGCATCTTTACTTCTTTTCAACATTTCAAGACCTTTGGAAAAGCTTGAGGATGGTACCCAAAGGTTCTAAAACAAACACTTCTCTAGGAGAAATATTAAACAGCCTAGCATCTTACTTGATTTGCAAGCAACATCATTTCTCTGGTTTAGAACTATTGTCGAACGCCTCCTCAGCATTTTGATACTTGTACAACCAGGCGCATACAAGATAATACACAAAGTTCAACATTGAAAGTGCAGCACACACCCAATACACATTATCTAGCCTCCCATCATTTATATTGTCTGGTAACCACCCTGTTACCCTTCGAAGAAGATCCATCACGCTGTTGCCCAAATAATAGGAGATTCCCATAAACAACGCGACCATGGCAGTTGATGTGCTTTTCAGTGTTGCAGGAAATTCTTGGTAGTAAAATGCAACATTTCCAGGAAAATGAAATGCTTCCCCAATACCAACAATGGCCAACTGGGGAACCAGCCACATGACTGACATGGGTACAACAGCACCATTTTGATCTTGGAGGTGGTGAAATTTTTCCATTTTGAGCCGACTCGACTCCACCAGAGCCGCCACCGCCATGCTGAGCCCTGTCAATACATGGCCGATCCCAACTCGTTTGAGAGGTGTCAATGGTCGGCCACTGAACTTCTCCAAGGTGGGAAACAAGACTCTGTCAATGAAGATAATAGTGATGGAAGTGGAGATCAGTATGAAGACTATTATGGAACCAGATGGGATTTGAAAATGGGATCCAAGATGACGATCCATTGTTAGAGCTTGGATTATTGGCAAGCTGGATTGGATAACAATTGGGATGGACAAGAATACTCCAGTTGACCATAGTGGGAAGATTCTGATTAGGCTTTTGAGATCTTCTACTTGTTGCACTGGGCATAGCTTCCAGGGTTTTGCAATGGAGCCATTTGGTCCAATGTCTCCTTCAGTTTTCAGTGCTGCGCGATTCAGGAACCTGTATGATGGAGAGGACAGACTATCCTTTGATCAAAGAAATCAAATTTGCTCGGCTTACAAAGTAGTATTGATCTTATGGAATGAGACTTGTCACTAGATAGTCTAGATGAACTCGGTAGTGATATAGACAAGTGCGTTAGCGATCTATAATGTTCCAGATTCGGATTGTATAGTATTATCCGTTTTGAATTAGGCCTACACAACTTTAAGACAGTCTTGTGCAATGAAGGTTTAAGAGTTTTATAAGAATTTCACACATACTTTATCCAACAATATGATATGGGTGTGGTCTGCCATGATTTGTACCCTTAGGACCATACTACATGTTGGACTTAGCCAAACCTAAGTCATGTTGATTTTAGAAGATGGCTCATTCTAGGGCATGGCTCTTATCATGTTAGTTGTCACTGTCCCAAGTCATTGGCCTTTTGGACCATGGTGTCCATATTAAGTGGCTTTCACTTCCTAAAGGCTAATGACCGTAATGTCATTTGTAGTATTCCAAATCTGCATTGCATAATATTATCTGCTTAGTTTTGGGCTCGTACAGTTTTAAAATGTGTTGTATAATGAAGGTTTAAAATTTACATTTATCGAGCACTTCACATACAAATGGTAAGACATGTATTTCAATGTAAATGTATTTATAAAGCTTTCTTACTTGAAGAATTGTGTAGGTGTTGCAGCCATCATGGATGTGGACCCATCATGCAACTCCTGGTAATAATTTTCACCTTTCATGGAGATCTGTACTTTCCTTTTGTTCACAGCTGCAACTACAACACGAGCCAAACCCATGAATGGGCTCCCTTGTGGCCTAACATGGCGATAAAAAGGGCTTCCCAACAAGAAAATGGCTAATCCCAGTACATTGGCTGCAACACAAATCCCAAACCCCGATGCCCAACTCACGTTGTCTTGAACGTAGACGATGGCCGTGGTGCTTATGACAGAGGGTACGTACAGGGCGACAAGGTACCAGTTGAAGAAAATGCCTTGGTGCTTTGGCTTATCAAATTGATTTGCTCCCATTGTTGCTAGTGTGAAGCGTGTACCCCCTACTCCTAAAGCTGACAGAACTAAACCAGCATATAGGATTACTAATTGGATTTTTGATGGGTCTGTGCACAAGTTTGATCCATTGTCACAGTGGGAAGGCCTCAAGGGTTCAAGTCCTGCAGTTAGGACTAAGAGTACCATACCCTGCAAGCATATTAAAATTAATTTTGACTAAAAAATGTTTTTTCCCCGCAAGAGACGGGAAAAAAAAAAACCAAATGTAGTGCTTGACAACATTTTTTGAAGTAATTATTTACCCTTTTTTTTTTCACGGACTTCTTTACGTTTTCACTTTTTTTTAGCATTTTTAAAATAGTTTTAATCTTTATACTTTTAAAAAAAAAAAAAATTATCTGGGTTTGCTCAATTTCTTCAAATTTGATTGTATGTGTAACAATTTATTATATCTGTGCATGCATAAGTGTGTTATTTACATGTGATGTATATGGTTTACTTTTGTTTAATAGTTGACTAGGCATACTTGTATGAAAATTAATCAAAAATTACTTAAATAAAAATGTTACCAAAGGATATATAGTAGGTTATTAAATTTTTTTTTTTTTTTTGAAAATAAGCTGGTTATTAAGTTTAGTGGTGCTATTGTAATATAAAAAGTTGACTAAATTTTTTGACATATGATGTATCAAGTGATAAAGTTTAAATTCAATAGCTATCGTTGCAATAATGTTATATTAATATTATTTGGATTTAATATACTAACTTAATACATCACAATTATTGAATTGATAGTGAATCTAAAAAATTATTGGGACCCACTATCAATGTAATGATTCTAATACATTAAGTCAATAAATTAAGTCCAATAAAAATTGCTTATAATTTTATTAGACGATATAATTGTCACGCAGTTATGTTAAATTTTTAAATTTCAATAATATTATCCGTGTTGTACAAGTGGGAATAGGTAAGAATTATCACTTTTTACTTGTTAGGATCCGTTTGATTATAACGATAGAAAGTGAAAGTGATAGAAAGTGAAGTGAAAGGAAGGAAAAAGAAAAGAAAATATATTTTCTTTCATGTATTTAGTTAGCATGAAATATATACAAGAAAATTTTTAAAAATTTTATTTTTATAGTTTGAAAAGCATGAAAGTTATAAGAAAATTTATTTAAATATCAATATTGCCCTTATCTATATCAGATAGATTTATATCCAATAGATAACGAATGATGTGAGAGGAAATATGGGGAAAGTAGGAAACTAGATGTGCATGTTCAATATTTTCGGGAAAAAAATTATTCTCCAGCATAATTTGCAGGAAACAAGAACCGTATGTTGCTAGAAAAATTTGTGGGCTCAAAAATTTAGATTCTAGCGTTATCATGTTAAACAAACAGTAAAAAATCAAAAAAAATTCTCTTCCTTGTACTTTCCATCAGTCTCTCGCTACCCTTAAAGCACATGGAAACCATTTTTTATGTGTTAAAACTGCCACCAAAAAAAAAGGATTAAAGACTACTTTAATCAGTGGTAGACTCTGGTAGTAACAGACTGAACATGGCAAATCCGGGGAGAGAGAGAGATAGAGAGGTAGTACCAGCAAAGATATAAGGGATGAAATCCATATGACGGAGAAACAGCCTAGAAAGGAGTCGGCGATGATTGCTCCGATGATCGGAAAGAGAGCGATACAGCCATTAAACACATTATAAATTTGAGCAGCCTCGATGCTCTTCACATTGTATTCCTCTATCAGATACACAATAAGGTTCGAAACCCATCCTCCCGCTGCCAAGGACAAACCCCCCATGGTTGCTGGAAACCCACAAAAAAAAAAAAAAAGAAATCAGTTTTATACTAAAAATAACGTATACTCGTTCATCCTCGACTGATTCATTTATAGTCATAAACCAAGACAACTTGGCATGGGTTGTATTCTTATTTGGATAAAAAAGAATGAATGATACCGAAAAATACATTTCTTGTGTTATAGTTGCACCCAATATTGTGCAGTTGTGTATGTGTAAGAGAGAGAGAGAGAGGAGAGAGGAGAGAGAGTCAGAGACCTATCATGAAGGGAAAAGTGATCCAGCCACCGGGCTTGCGACCGGAAGTAGATAGTTTTGCTGCTTCATCTGTGGGAAGTGATTCCATTATGCAAAATTAAACTGCTAACTGACTGTTTTAAGACCATGGCTGATATATGGTAAGGGTAAGATATTTATATAGACTGTTTCTTGATATTCCATCAGTGAGAGGGCAAATATACGTGAGGCAAACTAACCCAATTAGTCGTTGACCACCTTGCATTATTGTGAATTTGTATCAATACCAATTTAAATAGGGAGATTTATGTTCAGGTTCCTAAGGTTTATCATTTAATCACTCAAATTCCATGATATTTGAAATATTATACATAGACACTTTGAAATTTGTGCGAGCGTAACACTTAGACCTCTGTTGTAAATATATCAGTTAATAAATTACACACAGACCTCCTAAAATTTGTAAACATATATTACTTAGACCTCTTAAGTTAAAAATGTTATATTTATACTAAAAATACTTCAATCAAAGATATAATATCAAATATTTTAAATTTTATAATTAAAATTTATGTTTTATTATATTATTTATTGAAATAAAATTAAAAATAAAAATTCAAATTTTTATTAAAAAATCGTAATTAGTATATAATTATATTACCTATTAGAATTTAATTTAGTCGTTTAAACGATCAAATTAAAAGATATTATGTCAATTACAGTTTGACATTTTATTTAATTTTTTAGTTTATTTTAATAGATAATATAATTGTATACTAACTATAATTTTTTTTAAAAAACTAAATTTTTATTTTTAATTTTATTTCAATAAATTACATAATATAACATAAATTTTGGTTGTAAAATTATTGTTCTATTATGAATGACTTAGATCCCTTGTTTGATTTTTTCAGTTTTATTCCAATAGATAGTATAATTGTACACTAATTACACTTTTTTAAGAAAAAAATTGAATTTTTATTTTTGATTTTATTTTAAGAAATGATACAATATAACATAAATTTTGATTGTAAAATTTAAAATATTTGATATTCTATCTTTGATTAAAGTATTTTTGGTTTAAGTATAATATTTTAAACTTAAGGGATCTATGTATTATACACCTACAAATTTCAGGGGATTTAGGTATAATTTATTAACAGATATATTTATAGTAAGAGTCTAAGGGTTACATGTGTATAAATTTCAAAGGGTTTGTATGTAATATTTTAAATATCAAGGGATCTGAATAATTAAACAACAAATTTTAGAGGGTTTAAATATAATTCTCTCATTTAAATATTGCATGTGGGTAGACTTAACGCGGTTACAACTTTACATCCCCCACCAACCCAACCACCCCCTCACCCTAGGCATAGGCAGAGCTACCTACCTTAGTGCTAGGGGAGTCCCTCCTGGCCTATATATATATATATATATATATAGAGGTGTGTTACTAATAAATGTTTTAATTATTTATTATTATGTTCACTATCGATTCCTTACCTGTTATCCTAACGTTATGTATGATTGCATCATTGTAGGGTTGTTTGAAAATCCGTTTGCAATACTTAACTTGTGGGGTGTCACATACCCTATAGATAACAACTGCAACAGTTACTAGTCTGACCCCTTAATAATATTGTATAGGGCCATATCAAAAACTTATGAAAACGTAATGAACATATTTAAGTTATGAACAAATTAGATGTTCTATTAGGTATATGTTTTATTTGTTTTTAGTATCTTCCTTTTAATTAGAGCTTTAATTCCATTTATTAATATTTAGAGGTTGGGCATGCCTATAAATAACCCCTATGTAATTCTGCGTTTGATAGATGGTAATTAAGTATGAGAATAGAATGATCACTACTCAGTATTGTTCATTCTAATGTTTGGTATGTAATAATTAAAATTCATTTCCATTACTATAGAATGCCTAATCCCATTAGTGGAAGATTTGTTATTATTAAATATTTAGTGATATTTTTCATTCCTAACTGCTATTATTCGTCGTCACCATCACCCCATCTTTGCCAAAGGTCGGGGCTCGGGCTTTGGTCCAGATTTGGGGTCAAGGTCCAAGGTGTGATATGATTACGGGGTGGGGTCGACTTTGGGTTCGAATCCGGGGTCAATGTCGAGGTTGGGTTCTAGGTCGAGGTCAGGGTTTGGGTCAGGTTCAAGGAGTTGGGGTCTAGGTTCAGGTATAGGTTTGGGATTGAGTCCTAGGTTCGGGTCGGAGGTCAAGTTCGGACCTAGGGTTTGGGTCTTTGTCAGGGTCCAGGTCTAGTGTTGAGTTCAAGTCTAGGTTCGGGTCATGAATCTGAGGTTGATTGGGTCTGGATCTAGGGTTTGGGTCTGAGTCTAGAGATTATTCAAATATTTGAATGAATTTTTAATTATATTCGAGCACTTAATCTTAGTTGTTATCAAACATTGAAATGATAATACATATTCTATTTCATTTTTATGTTCATTCCATTTTCACTTTTGTTCAATTTCCACGCACCAAATGCAACTAAGAATTTATGCATTTAATCAAATAATATTTTAGAGTTTTCTCTTTTTTTCTGTGTGATTTTGGAATGTGTTCTTGTGTTTGACACATAAAAAATGGTGATTATCCTCGATGTCGTCGTGCCATTGGGAAGTTTGTGGTTTTTAACTTTGATAATTTATTGATTTATAACCGTAATGACACTGACCACTTGTAACACTTGAGAGCAGTTTTTTTACAACTGTACAAGAAAACAGTCTATTTGTAAACTTCAAGAAATACAGTTTCATAACTGATAATCTGATTTTCTTTGGTTATATGGTTAGTGCTATAGGGATTTTATGTTGTAATGTATATACTTCATGTCTAATAGTCATGTTGTAAGTGTTCGTTGCTCATTGCATCAACATAAGTGGGTGTTTTTTGACGGAATAATAACAGAAGCTAATGATAGAGTTACATTACAATAATTTTAATATATTGAGGGTGTAATGTAAAAAAATATAATTTTTAAGGGTATAAAATGAAAATTCCTAAAATTTTCAATTAGTGCAAAATGTGCTTTCCCCAAAGGGTTCGTTTGTTTAGCAGAAGAATGGTAGAAAATGCAAGAAAAAGAAATTTTTAAATTTTTTTATATGTTTGGTTAACATGAAATGAAAAATGATAGAATTTTTTTTTTTCTTTCATGCTTGAATTGTTTCACAACTAACCAACTTTTTTTTCTTGTAAAAAACACAAGGGAATGCAAGAAAGTTGTGATCTATATCTAACTTCTCATTTTACCCTTATTTTTTTTAAAAATATTTTATTGGTTATTAATTTTAAAAAATATTAGTATAGATTTCATTAACTATATAATTTGGTCCAAAGACCTTCGTGCGGGTGCTTGCTATAGAATTATAGGTTACAAGCCACTTTTTTTAAAAAAATATAACTTTCAATTATAATACATATTTTTTTTCTTCTTTAGGCCGATTTAATATAATTAAGAATGATTTAGACAATTAAAAAAATTTTATTGTAATTTTATTTTCCTTCAAACAATATTGAATTTTTTTAAAAATTTTTTTGCAATTTTTTCATCCCAATAAAATACATGCATGAAAATATATTTTTTATCATTTTTTTTTTCTTTCATTTCACTTTCTATCATTTTTCCTTTCTATCGTTCTTTCCTTTCTATCCCAACCGACCCAAAAAGAATTTAAAAATTGAATGTGGGCACACTTAGGCGGTTACATCCCACCAACCCCCGAAAAAATTACATGAAATGTGATTATTTTGTGGAATCCACTTTCTACTTTTTAGGGTTTTAACTAAAAACAATGGGTTTATTTTGAGGTGTACACACACACACACACATATATATATTAAAAACCTGATCCCTTATAATTTATTTGTTCTCACTTATAAATTATCTACTACAAATTCAAGTGAAACTCATAATATATAACAAAAAAAACAAGAAGAAGTTGTGTCTAAGACGATGATGGAACCTGTTTAACACAATGACTTGAGCAATACATCTATTTAGACGTAATTTATCTAATCCATTGATATCGTGAATCGACAGTGAGTTCTAATGAATATTTGTATCAACTGTCAATCCAATGCTAACAAATAATTATATCAATAAATCAGATACAATAGTAAAGAGTGATTTTAGGATAAAGCAATGGTACATAAATTATTTTTTTGTTATTACACAGAAAAATAATTTTTAGCAATTAATATATATATATATAGTCAGAAGGGTGATTAATATAAATATTGAAAGTAGTTGGCGTTAGGCTCCTTCTAGGAATCAAATAATAAATAATTAATTATCAGTTTATATATATATATATATATATATATATAGTCAGAAGGGTGATTAATATAAATATTGAAAGTAGTTGGCGTTAGGCTCCTTCTAGGAATCAAATAATAAATAATTAATTATCAGTTTATATATATATATATATATATATATATAGTCAGAAGGGTGATTAATATAAATATTGAAAGTAGTTGGCGTTAGGCTCCTTCTAGGAATCAAATAATAAATAATTAATTATCAGTTTATATATATATATATATATATATATATAGTCAGAAGGGTGATTAATATAAATATTGAAAGTAGTTGGCGTTAGGCTCCTTCTAGGAATCAAATAATAAATAATTAATTATCAGTTGAGTTAACTGACAGCTGAAACCTTTCTTAACCCTTTAAATATCTTGCTAATATGAATCTATCTATACTACTATACATGAAAAAATTTTGATTTATTATTTTATCCTCTATAAAGATTAACATGTCCTTTTATATTTATATAAATATACAAATTATCATTTTATTCCTCTATATTTAAATAACAAACTAATCTTTAATATATCATATAAATTTCTATCTTTGAAAAAACTTTTAAATGGTCATATTAATCTTATATAAAAACATTATTATTTTTTTTCCAAAATTCCAAAATTAATACACATCGATAATTTCATTGATACAATATTATCTCCGGTGCCAAAAATCTCTTCATTCACAATACAAATAATTTAAGTATCAAAAATATGAGATAATATCTAATTTAACTATATAATTAAATTTTTATGTATTT